AATCCACCACCCATGTACTTTTGTATTGTAAATTTTATTGGGGGAAACGGTCTTATTTCATACTGTCTAAATTTATCCCTCTGCAATCTTATCTGGAATTTAGGCCAGAAATTCTGTGTAACTTTCTCCTAGGAGATTCTCAAAGTTTTGTATCTTATGCTGTGGTCAGATTCTGTTGTTTAGTGATTAGAAAATGTAAATCCCTTGTAATGGAAGACATACTGTAACTTGTTTTCAACTATTCTGGATTTTATATATTTTTCTTTTTTCTTTCTTTTATATATACCTCATATTTTGTCTTTGTATTATCATTAATTTACTAGCTATTTTTGTGAATTGATAATGTTGCTGGCTTTTGCCATAATAAACAATTGGAATTGGAATTAGTTGAAAATCTAAGGTAAAACCATAGAGTCTTTGGGGATTTTTCTAGGATGAATGTCACTTCCAGGTTTTTCTGGAAGTGATGTAACACCAGTGGCCATTTTAAATTTTATTTTTCTCCTGCTGCTGCTATGCCTGCTGGGGGGAGGGGTTGCCCACCCCCATTGGGAGGCTGGCAAACCTAAAGGCCTCTTACTTACACAGATTCAAGTCTCTTTATAGGCAATATTCTGAACTATATGACTTTTAGACCATCTTGTGTGATTTAACTCTCTCAACATCTTAGGATCAGAAGCAAAAGCTTCAAAATAGCTGTAGCCTCTTGCTCAGGGTAAAAGAGGAGAGCGCAAAAGTGGGCTTGATGCTCAACATCAAAAAAACTAAGATCATGGCATCTGGCCCCATCACTCCTTGGTAAATAGAAGGGGAAGTTGTGGAAGTAGTGACAGACTTCACGTTCCTCGGATCCCAGATCACCGCAGACTGTGACAGCAGCCATGAAATTAAAAGATGCCTGCTCCTTGGAAGGAAAGCGATGGTGAACCTAAACAGCATGATAAAAAGTGGAGACATCACCCTGCCAACAAAAGTCCGCATGGTCAAAGGAATGGTATTCCCGGTAGTCATGTATGGCTGCGAGAGTTGGACTATAAGGAAGGCTGAGCGCTGAAGAATAGATTCTTTTGAACTATGGTGCTGGAGAAGACTCTTGAGAGTCCCTTGGACTGCAAGAAGATCAAATCAGTCTATCCTAAAAGAAATCAACCCTGACTGTTCCCTGGAAGGCCAGATAATGAAACTGAAGCTCAAATACTTTGGCCACCAAATGAGAAGGGAGCACTCACTGGAGAAGACCCTGATGCTGGGAAAGATTGAAGGTCAAAGAAGACGGGGATGGCAAAGGATGAGATGGTTAGACAGTGTCATAGATGCAACGAACATGAAATTGAGCAAACTTCAGAGGACGGTGGAAGACAGGAAGGCCTGGCGTAATCTGGTCCATGGGGTCACTAAGAGTCGGACTCGACTGTGCGACTGAACAACAACAAAAATCAATCTCAGTCCTAATATTCAGGATTTGGGACTCTTGTGTTCAGTGGTTCCCCTTCCCCAATATCTCTTTTTTTGCATAGACTATTGAGCAAACAGTTACCCTCAAGCTTCAGATACACCTGGATAACATTTATTGTTGGCCTCTCATGTGGAAAGGACAATTTAAGTGAGGTTATCATCCAAGTAGACTAAGAAGGTAGTCTTATCATTAAGTTCCTGATTGTTTAACAGGCAGGAAAGCAATCAGCAAAAGGATAACTACTTATCTAACAGGGCCAGCAATCTTTAGACCTTTTTGAAAAAATAACTCTCCAGTTCCAGAATATGATCTTAGAATACAAAACCAAACTTTAGGAGAAAAACACAGCATTTCCAAGACCATTTCCAAGGACAGTGTCCACCCAGAGACATAGTAGACACTAGTTTTTCCCATTGCAGGACCTTTGTTCCAGAAGAGTTATCCACTGAGAGAAGCTCTTCTGCAGGAAGAAGTCTCTTTATGTGTGGCCAGGAGCTCTATCATCAATTCCATCTTTTGAAAAGCTATTTTTAGCCAGTTTGGTGTAGTGGTTAAGTGCGCGGACTCTAATCTGGGAGAACTGGGTTTGATTCCCCACTCTTCCACTTGCAGCTGCTTGATGACCTTGGGCGAGCCATAGTTCTGTCAGAGCTGTCCTTGAAAGAGCAGTTCTCTCAGAGCTCTCTCAGTGCCACCTACCTCACAGGGTGTCTGTTGTGGGGAGGGGAAGGGAAAGGAGTTTGTAAACCACTCTAAGACTCCAAGTGGAGGGTGGGGTATAAATCCAATCTTTTCCTCCTCCTCCTCCTCCTCTTCTTCTACAAGTCTTTATTTTAGATTTCTCATGCATAGCTTTCCAGTGCCCGAACAACTAGCTCTGGCCATGACTCAAGGTGCTGGTTCTGATGTATAAACTCTTATACAGCTTGGCTCCCACATATTATAGAAACTGCATTCTCCCTTGTGGTCCAATGTAATCACTAAGCTCACTTAAGAGAACCCTCTTGTCTATACCACCCATATATAAATATTCTCATATAAAAGCATTCTCAATGAGTGACCATTTGACTGTCATCAGAGTCTGAGTGTTAGCATTTTCTTTTAAGTTCTGCAACATTGGGGGGTGTCTTTTTAAATGTTAAGTCAAGCGGCGTGCTTGGACTAAGTGTATGTGGGTGAGCTTTTTTACTGAGAGTATATTTACTAGGTGGCATTATTACTTGTTAAATGGAAAGATTTCATGTGAAATATTTGAGTCAGTGAGTCAGATCTGCTAAGTCATATAAAAATCATAATGATCACAGAATATGCAATCAGTGTCACAGAAAGATAAAAAGGGGAAGATGTTTCGTTTACTGCTTCATTATAAAACTGAGCATTCTGAAGAAACTCTTTAAGAGAAGCAGAGGAAGCTGAGTACTTCACTGAATCTGGCCCAATATGCAAATATTTTGAAAATTAATAGAGGCTGAAACGAAAGTGTTGAATTGGTTTATGTTTATATATTTCATATGCAAATTATTTTCCCATATAAAATGCATATTGAAAAATGCTAAAAGGTATAAGATATGCAAGAAAAAAGGATTTCTACAAAATGTCTGTTCAGTGACTAATACTCTTTTTGACCAGAATTTATTCAGACTGCTCGAAGACTTATTTTCTTAAAATACCTGATTATTTTGCAGTATCAGGAATGAAAGTATTAAAATGACATAAAAAGGCATAACTCATGGCTGAATTACATCCTTGATATACTAGTCTACAGCTCATCTTTATTTAACTGACCCCCTATTTCACGAGTTGCTGTTAAGAGATACTGAGTTTGGTGCTACTAATCTTGGTGGAATTTATATACAACTGTGAATCATAAACTAAGTTCATATGTTAAAACTCATTCAGAAATTGTCTACAGCGGGATATCACATATTAGATTGGGAAATTTAATGTCAGTATCATAAACTGAAAACATTTTAAAGTATCATAAACAGAAAACATTTTAAAGTATTTGACCAGTTATGTGTGTTTTAAAAACCTGATATGCTCCTAGTTTTGTAGGAGCTAGGAAGGATTTATTTTCAACAAGAAAATGGATTATGTGGACAAAAATGTCTGCATTCTCTCCACTTGCCCCCCCCCCCCCCCGCAAGTGGTTTTTGTGTAGCAGAAGTCACTTCAGGTATTGGTCCCTGGATGGAGAGAAAATTACTCAGGGAATGAAGCTCCTTGCAGGGTGGTGGTATAGTACCTCCTTTTGCTGTTACAATCAGATCCTGATTTTATTCCTGATGACTGAGGAACATCTGTGTTTGGTGCTGAGGTACAAAAATGTGCACTCAAGGTGTTCTTTGGGTTTCTCAATAATTTTGTTTACATTATGTGTGTTTTTTCCAGTTTGGCCAAAAGTTCAATTTTGTTCCCATTAAAATTTTTACTACAAACCCATCCCAGCTGGAAGATGATGATAGCTTCCTATCATGCTTTACACGAAGCTTAACATCTCTAGGCTTCACTTAAAAACATTTGCTGATCACTTGATTTATTTCCTTCCTCATGTTCCCCTACACCATTTCTGTCAAACTCATGCACATCAGCTCCCTGTGTCTTCTCCCATTCCCATTGTGTTCAACAGGCAGACTCCCCTCTGTCTTTACATTTCTTAGATACAGCTTTTAAAAAAACCTTTCCTAAACCGCCAAGTCTCACCTTACAGGCCTCCATTCTTCCTTTTGATATTCTCATTCCCATTTCTACTCTTAACTGTCTATCCCTGATCTCATTTTTACTCATCACTTCCCACAATCTGCTGTTGCCAGTATAGAGAAGTCTGAAGGGCACCGACCCTTTTGATCTGTGTTCTATTCACTGCCTGATGCACATTATTGCTCAGTGAGTGAAAATTCAAAAACACAAAGAAAAAAAAGCATACAGAAAATTTCTTTTTTGGACTCTTCTACTTCAGAATGCAAGAAAGAAACTTCACTTTTTAAAATACTTTGCCATGTAAAAAACACATAAAATGAACCACATTAGGAGAACTCTAATCTAAAACCCACTTCCCTGACATGTTTATCTTCTGCATACAGGGAATATTTTATGTAAAGGGATATTAAAATATGCAATTCCCTACTAATATTCTGAAGTGGTACCATACAGGAAAGACTATACCACATCCTTTTTTCCTGCACAGATGAAATGTTTATAGATGTTTAGAATTAACAGTATTTTAAAAACATAAACTGTGGTAAAACAAATTGCAGTATATTGTTTCCTATGAAGAGCTATATGCAGTTATCTTCCTTCACCTGCATCTCCTGTGTCTCATCCTATATGGGGCAGACTGGAGGGTGGAGGTGAGAGCTACAACATGTGAATTTTGTTTAACCTGTTTATATACATACAGGAACTAATTGGTATCACTCTGTACATTTCACAACAAGCCTTATTAAAAGCAGGAATTTGTAAATGAGATTATCTGTTATACTGATCCACAGAATCACTACAAAAACCATTTAAAAGCCCCCACAGAGTTTCAATTAATACATACCTTAGAAGTATCATCTCCTTCATCTTCATGAACTGAACTGGATGGTGATGGAGTTGCAGACTTGCTTCCAGGAGGAGATGGAGAATTGTGGGGAACATTGTTTCCACCCATATTCAAACCAAGTTGAGCACTTAGTTGTGATTGGTTAATGGTAGTCAGTTGACCATGCTGCAGCATTCCTGGCTGCCTAATATCACTAGGCTGAACTCTTGGTCTCATGGCTGCCATCTGGGGGTGGGAACTATACTGAGCTCCTTCTGTATTCCGTAAATCTTGCATCTAAAAAAGGAAATAGGAATGTGATTGTGTCTCATTATTACACCAAAACTGAGAATACATTGCCTCATTAGTACTTGGAAGGTTTTAAACTTAAAACAGCAGTGCACCATGTATGGAAAATAATGTGTATGAGTTCAGTGCTAAGGAACCATGATGCTTTCTAACAAATATCCCTTTTTCTTATTGCGTTTTTATCTCTCTGTTTCTGGATTTTTTTTTAATAAGCTGTAATTTTATTATTATATCTGAATCTTAACATCTCTAAACCAATATGGTTTCAGACAATGCCTATGGAATTCTTTAGTAGATAGGTCTGTAATGTTCAGGCCAGTTCTAATATACCTTGAAATGCCTGAGGAACTACTGTAATTTTCCATATGGAGACAACAATGTGCTATTAATGGACTGATAACATGACTATATAGCTCATTTACTGAAATCACCATAAATGAATGCTCTAAAGTTGGAGGCTCAACAAAATTGTGTTATCTGGGTCACTGAATTTAGTCTTAATAAGACTCCTGATTTTAACTCAAACAATGAATCCAAAATTTGCTACGATAAGATGCGAGAGAACATTGCAGAACATGACTTCTCCAGAACACAGACTATAATGAATATCTCTTGTCCAACAGGATACTGGGGGGGGGGGCTGTCAGTGATGGAGCTTTACATTTTCCCCTCCTTCTGGCTGTTGGAGTGCCGTCAGACAGCACTTGCTGGCAACTCTAAACAGAAGATAAAATTTCCAAAAAAAGAGCAACTCAAATGCAAACTTTAGTTAGGTAATTGTGCAGGCTGTGAAATGATTGATATAACAAAAAACTGGGGGGGGGAGGGAAACCCACCCTGAAAATAGAATATGACTTTATCTGTTAGCAAAGATCTAATAGTACCTGAAAAAGGGTTGCCAACTCCAGGTCAGGAAATTGCTGGAGATTTTTTGCGGGGAGGGAGTCTGAGAAGGGCAGGATATAATGCCATTGATTCCACCCCCCCAAAGCAGCCATTTTCTCTTGGGAACTGAAGTCTGGATATCAACTGTAATTCTTTGAGATCTCCAAGTCCCACCTGGTGGCTGGCAATCCTTAACTGTTCATGGGTGGTTATTTATTTATTTATTTAAAAATTATATCCCAACTTTTCCCTTCATTCAAGATTTTTTTCCTATCAGTCCACAGCTGGTTTATGGAAACTCCATAGGGTTTTCAAGGCAAGAAATGTTCAGAGGTAGTTTGCCATTGCTGGCCTCTGCATAGCAACCTAGTATTCCTTAGTCGTCTGCTTAGCTTCTGAGATATGACGAGATTAGGCTAGTGTGCGCTATCCAGATCATGGCTGGTTCAAGGTAGCTTAGAATAATAGTTAAAATATTCCCAGCTTCAATCATACAAGGTGTAATGGATAAAACTACAACTAAATTAGGTATGAGTTTTGTTAACAAGAAATGTAAGAATACTTAGATACCCCCATTTTATGTTTTGTCTGTTTTGCTAAAATAAAAAATCATTAAAAAACAACATTCCCAGCTTAAAACCAAAGATAAACTAGAAACCCCCAACCGTCTTCCCCCTACTTCCCTTTAAAAGATACCTGCCTTTTAAACACCCTCAAAAGCCCTGGCAGATAGGCAGAACTTGAAGCACCTCCTGAAAAACTCCAGGGAAGGCCCCCACACATCTGCTCAGGGAGCCCATTCCACAGGAGTGGAGCCATGATGGAAAAGGCCCAGGCTCTGGCTGATGCCAGACAAGCCACCCAAAGTGGTAGGATAACCAGCAGATGGCTGCCTGATGATCGTAGTTGGCACACAGGGACATATGGAAGGAGATGGTCCTTCAAATATGTAGATTCCAGACTCGATTCTTCTGATAAGCACAATGTACACTGAGGAAATTATTTTGGCTTATTCTGCAAAGTTTTCTAAACAAATGGTTGGATTTCTCTGTTCCTATCTGGATTTATTTTATTTCAAAAAGACCCTGATTAGGAGTTAGAACACTTGGGTGGGTCCTTATGTCTTGGAGAGTGTAGAGGGTGCTGCAGTAATCCACCCACAAGGTTACAGAAGCATACATCAGCATGGCCAGATCAGCTGAGTCTAGGTAATGAGAAAGCTGGCAAATCAAATGTAGCTGATAGAAGGTGGTACTGGCCGCCATGTTAACCTGCTTTTCAAACAGCAAGGCAGAGTCCATGAGCACCCCCAAGCTCTTGCTCTGAAAAAGCCAATGTCACTCCATCTGGGACAAGTGGCTACAGTTCCTCTAGAACAGAAGTGCCAAATGTGAGGCCTGATACTTCCCCTCTGCATATCACACCTAATCCAATCATGCCTGCTATTTGGCATCTGAAACCATCTTTATAAAGTTCATATCTCTGGTACCTTGTGTTACATTTTATAGCACCCATGGCCGGGTCAAACACAGTGACATTTATGTCAGATCTGGCCCTCATAACAAATGAGTTCGACACCTCTGCTCTAGAATATCAGTCTTCTTGACCATCATTACTTATGTCTTGCCTAGATTCAACTTCAGTTTGTTCTGCCCTAGCCACTTGACCGCAGCTTCAAAGTACCAGTTCAGAACCAAGATGGATGCATCTAGACTACAGACTCGGATAATGAAATATAGAGCTGAGTGTCATCTGCATATTGATGGACACACAGCCCCAAAACGCTGGACAATTTCATTCAGTGCCTTATAAATTGAAGAGCATGGCTGAGAGAAGAGAACCCTGCGGCATCTCACAAGATAATTTCCACCCAGTTGGATCATCCCTAGCCAATGAAGAAGTCTAATAACAGCCTCCTTCAAAGGCCTAGGGAAAGGCAGCTCAATCACAGAAGAGCCTATGATTTTCACTTATAGCTTCAATACCTTTCTCCAGCAAGATTCCTAAAGCCATTGATACAGAGCACGTGGTGGCCCTCGCATTCCCAAGAATCCTGTCAGCATTCATGGGCAGGATCAATCTGAAACTATCTATAACAAAATGACAAACAGGTGCTTCTGACACCACAGGTACAGGATATGCACTAAACTTGGTCTTCAAGTTGGAACAGATGAGAGAGATTTTGTTAGCAAAATATCACAGCTGGGGGCCAAATTTTCATCGCTGGCAGGGTCAGACTTAGGTTTAATCAAGTCACAAACCACTTTGAACAACTAGGCTGGATGAGATTCTATTGATGCAATGGTGGCAGAGAAGAAAGTCTTCTTTGATGGCATCGCCACCTGATAGGTCTGCAAATGGGCTTTATGACATGCTCTGTCTGATTCATCCTGAGTCTTCCACCAATGTTGCTCAAGTCATCTTCCAGGCCACTTCATGTCACCCAGCTCCCAGGTAAACCAAGAATTTGGGAGGTGGATGCCAAGGTTGCATGGCTACTGCACTTGATTATATCCCAAAACAGGCGACACTTTTACGACATGATCTTGCAAAAATACTTTGAAATGTCACAGAATGTAGAAGAAGCATATTGATCTGGCAATGTGATGACAAGGCCCGTATGCAACACAGCCCCCAATACCATTTGCTTCACATTCCTCAAATTTAAGAATCACCTGCACCAAGCAAAAGAAACAAATGCCGAACACACACTAATTAATTAATGTTGCTTGTTCTGCTTCTGTATGGCTTTACGGGCTGTAAATAAAGATCGACGGAATGAATACACACAAATTAGGAATGAGTGAAGAACTGAAAACAGGTCAGCATTTTACTTGATACATCCTTTAAGATCCCAGCATAACTTCTTTAATTTTATAATCAGAATAACTATGCAATCCTAACAGAGTTATTCCCCTCTAAGCCTACTGAAGTCTCACCCAGCCATGTTCATAGTCATAATAGTGAAAGTGGTGTGTCCCCCCTCCCCCCCAGCCATGGCCATTTGACAGAAATTGGCTATGGGAGACAGGGAAGAGGAGAGTGCAAAGTATTGCTTGAGTGAATTGAGTAAATATATTTCATGTCCTAAAAACAGTAAAATAAATTTAGGTTTGATAAAACTGTAAGTACTTGAGCACCACCCCCTAGAGTCAGATACGACTAGCTTTTGAGCAAGGGAAGCCTTTACCTTTACTTGCTACATATATTCAAGTTTCTTTCAACATTTTGTTTTCTCTAATAAAACAACAGCTCCTGCCAAGTTCGAAAAGTGGGGTTGCCAACTCTGGGTTGTGAAATTCTTGGAAATTTGGGGGAGGAGCCTGGGAAGGGTGGAGCTTAGGGAGGGGAAGGCGCTCAGAAGGAGAGTGATGCCACACAGAGGGTGCGTTCAGACGGGGCATTTGCAACAGTATAGGTGCCGGTTGGAATCAGTGTACTTACCGGCGTTCACACGGCGAACATCTGCCTTCCGTCCCTAACCGTTGCAAAGAGCTTTACACCATTGTATTCTGCCACTAGGTCCCGACGTGGTGGTATCCTGAGTGCAACTGTTGTAATCGCTTTAACCCCGTCTGATCACTCTCCAACGTTGTAGAGCCACTTCCGTTCGGAAGCCCGAGGCTTCTGATTTTTGCCCGCCATTTTTTTTTTTGTTAGGTCGGCAATATGCGCTTGGGCGAAGCTTCGCCCTGGCGTTTGTTTAAAAAAAAGAAAAAGAAAAGGTCCTTCGTTTAAGGTTTTGGAGGACTCCGAGACCTCAGGGAGGCCAGTTTGGTCTTTAAACTTTAAATGTCGCCATTCTGTGGATGGCTGCCTATGCGCATGCTCAAATGGAGTTGTTGTTTTTTTTAAAAAAAACACTGACGCCCACTGCATGTGAACGGGCATACAGTGATGAGCTCCGCAGACAGGAGGTAAGTGTGATCGTGTTTCAGCCGGCATAAACTGCACCGGTTCCAACCGGTACAGTTTATGCCGGCTGAAACACCCTGTCTGAACACACCCAGAGTGTGATGCACCCACCCTCCAGAGCAGCTCTTTTCTCCTGGGGAACTGATCTCAGTCATCTGGAGAACAATTAGAATTCTGGGAGATCTCCA